TTGATTTTTCCTCTTTTTCTATCTAATTACCCAGACGGCCGGGCAATTTGTATGGTCGTCACTGGGACCGGGCGGGCCACGTGCAGATTTTTTCGCGCGGGCCAGCTGATTCACAGAAAATGAACTTCACCTGGGCGGGTACGGTAGCTGACGAAAAACATGGATCATTGTCTCTGTCTCTTTCTGTCTGTGTCTGTCGGTCTGTCTCTCTCTCTCTCTCGCTCTCTCCCTCTCTCTAGGCTTTGGCTTTAGGCTTAGGCTTAGGCTTCGGGCTTCGGGCTTCGACCAGGCTTAGGCTTGGACTTAGGCTTCGGTATAGGCTTAGGCTTACTTGACAACGATTTTTTCATTTCATTTTTTTTATCATCCCTTAAACTTCAGAACTTATAACTTTGCGTCTAGACAACCTAAATCAGCTCAAAACACAACTTTCGCCCGCGGGTCCACTCCGCTGAAGTACAGAATACCACTCGGAACCTACCGTATCCCCCGGTAATTTGACCAGCAGGCTGTTCCCAGAATCCGCGGGCCGCTGTTTTTTGTAGTGACTGGTTTCTCTGCCTCTCTCTCTCTGCTTCTCCCTCTCTCTCTTTCTCTCTTTATCTCTCTCTCTCTCTCTCTCTCTCTCTCTCTCTCTCTCTCTCTCAGCCACGAGACCCGAGTTAATGAGGGTCCGGGGCCACCAGATGAAACGCACTAATCCACCCCCTCAGAAGCCACGCCCCCTTTTTTCAGGTGGACGGTCAGTTCGTGCCCTCGGGGCATTTGGACCGTTGGGCTCGAAGTTCTTGGTTTTACCTGGTTTTGGTTGCTTAGGCTTGGGTTTAGGCTTGGGCTTAGGCTTCGCTTAGGTTTGGCTTAGGTTTGGCTTAGGCTAGGCTGCGGCTTGGGCTTGGTCTTAGCTTGAGCTTACTGTAAAGTGTTTTTACTCAACTTGGAGTTTCGATTCGGGACCAAGTGCACCTTGTACAGAATTTTTCGTTGATTCCGAATATGTTTTCCAAATTTGCTACGGACCGTTATTCTGAAAGTTATACGGCAATTATGACCCTAGTTTTCACCAAAATGAAGGTATCGTTATAGTTTTCGATTTTCTTCATTAATTTCAACGTCAAAATTGACTAGGCGTTGGCTCGACAAGCATCCTACAGCTCAAAACAAGCAGTTTAGATAAAAAATGAGATTTTTATGCAAAAAGCAAAAGAAATGATGCAGGGCGGGGGTTCGAACCGCCGCCCTGCGCTTGGCAAGCGAGAACTTTGCCAATGCACCATGGTGCCAACCGGAAGGGTGCTGTCAGAGGGTACTTCAAGGCCCCTCGGAATCATAGCCCCAAACAAGGAATAGTGGGCCAGCGTCTGAATTTTTGGCATTTTTCGGCCTAATTGTTACCAAAAATGATTTTTTAAATAAAAGTCCGTAGCAAATTTGGAAAACATATTCGGAATCAGCGAAAAATTCCGCACAAGATGCGCTTGGTCCCGAATCGAAACTCCAAGTTGAGTAAAAACACTTTACAGTTAGATAGGCTTAGGCTTACAAGGAGTCGTTTTTAGGTGATATTGGAGTTTCTGAGCGAGACCTAGCTAGTTCGATAGAGAAAAAAATTCTGAGCAAGATGTCGTTTTCCAAATCTGCTAACCGTGTATTGTCTTCGATAAAAATTAATTTTAATGAAAAAGTTCCGTGGCGCCACGCTGCCACAGATGGATCAGGCCCGGGACATAGGCAGCAATGCGAACCAGCATCCGCATGGGATCGTGGCCTAGTGGATAGTGCAGGCGCCTATCAAGCTTTTGCAAACTTATGCTCGGAGTTCGGAACTTTTTTTGATTAGCTGTTTTGCTTTTTCGTTTTAAACGCTATTGTGGTCATATTTGGCATCACAGAGCAAAAAGCAAAAGAGTTTCACTAGCTAGGAGTCGAACCCGAAGGCAAAAAAAGATAAAACTTATTAGGCAAGTGCACTACCAATATGCCACGCGATCATGGCGGTCCATGGGTCTGAAGGGGGCTATGTTCACGCGCACCCCCAGAGGCAAACCTGCGGATCAGGTGACAATGATGGCGAAATTAATGATTTTCAAATTAGTTTTTATCGAATACAATACACGGTTAGCAGATTTGGAAAACGACATCTTGCTCAGAATTTTTTTCTCTATCGAACTAGCTAGGTCTCGTTCAAAAACTCCAATATCACCTAAAAGCGACTCCTTGTTAGGCTTGGGCTTAGACTTCGGCTTAGGGCTTAGGCTTAGGCTTAGGCGTAGGCTTAAGGCTCCGAAGTTAATCGGAATCCAGCGGCATAAAATTATCGTTCTTCAACTTTAAATTTCAACGTTTTTGCTTTGTATTTTCTAGCCTTTAGTTTACTGTTTTACATTTAATGATCATATTTTCTTTATATTAAATTCATTGCTTTTATTTAATTAAACTCGGCAATTAAATCCGTGGTATTTTGCAGCCGAATTTTCTGACCTAACCGCGCCATTTTTGTTCCACCTGCCGGGTCATTTTTGCCAAAAAAAACAAGATGGTAGGGGTACGGTAGCCGCTAAATTTTTAATTGAATTTTATAACGCGAAAATTGCTGAATTTTTCCCTAGGATACTGTAGAGTTCAAAAAAATACGCAGCGCCCCGAGAACACCAAATGGTACGCCCTTTTTGGGGTGTATTGTGTTGGCGCTGCCCATAAATTTTGATGTGAGAGAATCGTGAGAATTTGCTCTTTCTCTCCCTCTGTCCCTCTCTCGATCTCTCTGGCTCCATCGCTTTCGCTCTCTCTCTCTTTCGCTCTCTCTCTCTCTCTCTCTATCTCGCTCTCTCTCTCTCTCTCTCTCTCTCTCTCTCTTCACATTGCTTTTTAGAGGCCGAAATTTGTAGTCGTCTGGAAAAATTCTGGCGTGCTAGAACCGCCAAAAGCTCAAAGCTAAGCCTGAGCCTATGCTAAGACCAAGCGAATTTTTACGTACTTTTTACGTAGTTACACCTCTTTCCCCCCAATTCTACTGACGTTTAATCCGCACCTTTTTTCGCTGCGTCACCCCACATGGCAACACCCCCAGCATTCCACATAATCCAATCGACACCCACCGAGAACTTTCCGTAATCTGTTCTTTTGCGTAGTTCATGGCCAACCAAAGGTCTCTAGATTAATCCGCGCCCCTGGCTACCGTAACCCTCGGGGGATCCGGCGGATTGCCGCGAATTACCAGCTTACGGACAGCGTTTCCAGGTCTCGCGGCTGGATTTCCACAGAAAGTTGGATTACTTTTTGGGTTTGATATAGTTTTTGGGGTATCGAAAACGTACAAAATATTCCGTAGAACGTATTGTAGCGTATTATTACGTAGTTAAAAGTACTTTGGCGTAGCTCTGGCTTTGTTTTTAGCTTAGGCTTAGGCTTGGGCATGGGCTTAGTCTTAGGTTAGGCGTAGGCTTAGGCTTAGTCATCTGCGTGAGCTTTGATGCGAACTCTGGCGCCCTTTTCCTGTTTTCGCCCTTCTCTCACTACACTAAACTCCCACCACCAAACAAACAATAACGTCTCATTCACCCATCTCCACAACCTTTTCAAAGCTACGGTAATTTACATCCTACACCCGCTGATTTCCGCCAAATTACTGGCTACAGTAGGGTCGGCCCTCCTCCCACCCGCTAATTATTATGAGAACCGGAAATTTGTCCTCCGCCGGGAGTCCTACCTTTTGAGATCCGAAAAAAATAGGAGGAAATGAAGCACCCAAAGATTCCGCTACATTACACACCTAATGCCGGCGTAGTTTGGAGTCGGAATTTACTAAAAGAATGCCGCTACGTTACGTTCCTCTTTACACCCCGGCAAAAAGCAAAAAAGTTCCTAGAAAGCTTAGAAGTCAATAAAAAGATGTCATTTTGTTTTAGCAACTTTCCAAGAGCATTTTCTGCATTTTTCCGACAGGCTCCGCTACGATACGCTCCTAATTACAAACTATTCCGGGCCATTAAACGCATGACATTTTAGATCTTAGTGATTTATGCAATTTTTCTTTGGAGCCCGAAATATTCCGCTACACTATGCCCGTTTCGATGCCTTTAATTCAATTTGGAAGGCACTCTACTGCGATACCGCTACAGTACGCTCCGATTTACACCTGTTTACAGCTCATTTTCATGGGGAATCTCTTCCGCAATCCCGATACCATCCACTACACCCGCTTCCTGTGTACTCCCTGTTTACCGTAACCCTCCCTCTGCCGAGCACGTGGGCCCGTGGGAAGCCCCCCTCCTGTAATTCACTCTCCTCCCTTTCTGCGTACACAGGCGCGTGACGTTCACTTCAAAAAAGCCCGGAAAACAGGCGAGTGTGGGTGGGCACGGCCACCGGGCGGATTATAATGAGTCAGTAGCGAGAGAGAGAGAGAGAGAGGGAATGAGAGAGAGAGAGAGAGAGAGAGAGAGAAGAGAGCGAGAGAGGGCCCACCGGGGGCCCAATTAACGGGGCGTGGCCAAGGAGAGTGGGCCCCGGGAGGATTTTATTCACTTTTTGGGCCCCTCAGAGAACTCGGATCTGGGATTACGCGGATTTGTTGCGGCGTCAAGAATGAGAACTCGGGGGTTACGGTAACTCGTTTTGTCGTCATACTGTAGTTTTGCGTAATTTACTGAGATTTAGGGCAAAATATCAGAATTTTTAAGAATTTTGAGGCTCTACTGTAAGCAGGATTTTGTCGTCATACTGTAGCTTTACGTAATTTTACTTAGAAATATTTTTCGGTCATACTGATTTCTTTTCTGTGCTGTCCGTCTTTCAGTCTTACAAAAAAAATGGACTAGTAGCCCTCTTTTGTCTTAAGCATCAATCTTTTTTGCCTCTTCCTCTTCCTACTCTTCTCTCTCTCTCTCTCTCTCTCTCTCTCTCTCTCTCTCTCTCCCTCTCTCGCTCTCGATGACAATATTTCCGCTCTTTAAAAATTTTAAACCCAATGTTTGCAGGCGATTCTGCGCGGTCGGGAAGCCATGGACCCGCCTTCACAGCGCGGCGCCGTCTTCCTGTTCCCAGGTGTGTTTTGGAGATTTTCAAGGGCTAGATAAGTCAAATCGCCACTGAAATTCGTATTTTCTACCTTGGAAAGGGCCACTGAAGTCAAAACCTATCAACTCCTGACTTCCCGGTGCCTTGAAACCTTCGATTTCCAGACCCGTACAAGCCTGGCGGGATGGCGGTGGGCAGCGGGTGCCGCCCGATGGAATCGGGGTCCTACCAGGAATTTCTGAAGAACCCCCTCAACCATCCGATTTACACCCATCTACCCGAACCACTGCGGCACCTACGGGCAGCCAGGGAATATGAACAGCCCGCCATGCAGGTCAGTTAAAGTGCCCTCGGGGTATTGGGAGGGTGGGGTGGACCTGGCGCGTATTTGAATCGGCGCGTAATCGGCATTGTGAAAAGTGGGCGGGCCAGCTTAGGTGTAGGCTTAGGTTTAGAATTAGGCTTAGGCTTTGGCTTAGGCTTAGGCTTAGGCTTGGCTTAGGCTTAGATTTAGCTCAGGTTTAACTTACTCGCTTTAGTTTTTTTGGTTTTGGGTCAGGCTTAGGCTTAGGCTTAGCTTTAGACTTGACCTGATGTTGTTTTGGAATTCGAATTCTTGTATTTTTTTGATGCTTTATCGTATTCTGTGAGCATTTCATTTTACGCGAAATTCTCTTTCTCTCACTCTCTCACTCTCTCTCTCACTCCTTTCCGCGTATTCCTTGTTTTCCCCTTTTCCATCGCTACGTGCAAAACAAGAGTACGACTAGATCCAAAATCCGGGATTTGTTCTTGGAAATTGTGGGTTTCTCGGAAGGAACAGCTAACATGAATTTTCGAGCTCAAGGAAGCTAGCGGCGATTCTTTAGGATTCTCAGGATCGCTAGGAATCTTCAATTTTTATGTCTTTTTTTTAAGTTTCCAGGCCGTTAACCTTCCACTAATTTCCAGAAGACACCCCAAATGCTGCCCTCCAACTTCTACCCGGGCTTCTTCCCCACCTACCCGATGCAGCCGCAGCTCCAAAGCCCTGAGCAGCTACAACTCTTCTGGGCCCACGTCAGCCACCAGTTCCAACACCAGTTCCACCCCTACGTCGCCCAACAGCAGGCCGTATACCAGGCTGCGCTCCAGCCGCAGCCGGCTAGCGTATCGTACGTTAGCCCGGTTCCGGTCGTTGAGCAGCAACAGGTTGCGGCGTTTCGACAACCGGAATGTCAGGCATTTGTGGGTTCTTTCACCTTTAAATTAATTTTATAAAGCTTAAGTGATTACGCTATGAAATGGATTTTTACATACCCTTAAACTTATTTTTCAAAGTTCAGTCGTTCACGCTATGAAAAACTAAGTTTTCGTATAGGTTTTTAAGCCGTTTAATCATTTTTTCTCAAGTTTAATCGATTACGCCCTGTAAACCTACGAATTTTTCAGCCCTCCTCCTTCCACCAGACGACCCCGGCCACCAGCCAGGCCAGCGAAGATGATTGGGTAAGTGGTTGCACTTTCGGCTTCCGGCTCTCTCTCTCTCTCTCTCTCTCTCTCTCTCTCTCTCTCTCTCTCTCTCTCTCTCTCTCTCTCTCTCTCTCTCTCTCTCTCTCTCTCTCTCTCTCTCTCTCTCCCCCCTCTCACTTCCTTTTTTAATCCAGAATTTTAGTCAAAAGCCTCGTGCAGTGGGGAGGAGCCGCTGCCGGATATGCCCAGGCTCGACAAGTCGATACAGCCACCTTCCGATGTCGAAGACGAGGACGACTTTGACGGGGTAACCTGGCTTAGGTTTAGACCAGCTTAAGCTTACCTTTTGTCAACTTCTAAACACTTTTACACTTCTCTTTTCCAGCCTCCCATCCTCACCCCGCCACCCGAACTCGACCGCATCGACGATGTAGATGAACAGGATGCACCAGCCCCAGCCCTCGATCTCCCCAGACCGAAACCCATTAAACCAGATGCCTCGTATCAAGCCCTCCTTGTCGCTCCACCGCCTCAGAATAACCTAACGCCACCGGAAACCCCTGAAGACGAAGCCGAAGATGACGAAATGCCCGACCTCCCCGACCTGCTTGAATCCGAGGTCCCAAGTGTTGAGCAGCTCCCCGAAGTCGTAGAAGTCGACAAGGAACTCGAAAAAGAGAACCAGCACCAACTCGAGCTCCAGAAGGCTGAGCCCGTGCTGGAGAAGGTGGAGAAGCTGGAGAACATCTTCGTCGAGCCGAAGCAGCCCGAGCTGGTGGTGCTCAAGCGGGTGCAGCCGAGGGAGGCCGAGGAAACGGGGAAGCGTAGACGGCTCGATGACGAGCTGACCGGGTGTAAATGGGCCGATTGTGGGTATCAGGGACGCGGCATGAACAAGCTGTACGACCACGTGATTCAGGTAAAAAATTTGGTGAAATTATGGTGTTAAAAATGCCTAAAAAGCATGTAATCTACCGTAATCACGTAATTGACGCTTTAAAAGTTAGATATTTTCACTTAACCCCCTTGAAATCCTAGCCAAATACCGATTTTTTTAGGCCTAAATAGCCGAGATTTTCGACGAATTCGACTTCTCCTGACTTCACAAGCCCTTTAACCACGTGTCACCTTTTTTAATCTCCGGTTTCCAGGAGCACATCATCCCCCTGAGCGCGCACAACACGTCCATGACACCAACGACCTGTTGCATGTCCCGTGAAGGGTCGGTGGCCTCGTTCCACTCCGAGGGCCCACCGCTCAACCTGGCCAAGGAGCTGCTGTCCAGAGGATCGAAGCGTACTCGTAGAGGTGCCGTCCGGGAAGAGCCTATCGACAGTCGAACGGCCAGCGATTCCGATGAGAACGATCCGTACGGATGCCAGTGGGCGGACTGCTCGATGAGGTTGACGAGAGGGGATGGAGATCGGAAGGTGTGTACTTTTTAAGGGGTGTGACGCTATAATTTGACGTGGCTTAGCTTGTATAATTAAGCAAAAAACCAGATTTAAAAAGCTAATGAAAGCTAACAAAACTCCCCGGTCTGTTGTAGCCTGTAGCCCGCTACAAGCCGCTCCTGTGCACAGGCTGCCCGGACGGTTCCTTTTCGAAAACAATACCCTTTTCCCAGCGGAAATTGATCCTTTTTCATCAAAACAAAAAATTTCGTGTAATTTTGGTTGTAATAAATGTCGAAAAACAAGTTTTTTATAGTGTAATCCGCAAAATTAAGGTTTTACCAGGCTGCCCCCCGCTCGGGGGGGCGGTTCGCGGCCCCCCCGAAAAAAATTTGAATTTGGAATTTGAATGCCGGATTTGGCTGAATTCCCGGTCGCGCGAACGGACGGATATTAGAAATTTATATATAGTAGATACTAACGTTCAATGGGCGTTTTCGATTTTAATCTTAGAAAACCACAGTAAAACCGAAATTTCGTCATCCTTCTTCGTTTTTAGCTAAATTTCAGGAAAAATTTGAGACATTTGAGACCAGTTCCTCTTGAAATTAGGCTCCCAATAGCCGGTTTGCCTCTTTTCTGGTAGTTTTGAAAAGTTAAAAACTCAAGAATCTGTACTAAACTCTGTTTTCAGTACGAATGGCTGCGCGAGCACTTCCGGACTCGCCACGCCAAGGGCGCCGCCACCTACAAGTGTATTGTGGATGGGTGCCGCGGGCGATTTGTCACCAATCGACAGGTTTGTTATCTGAGAATTAAATATATAGATTTTGATACCTTAAACGTATTTTTAATAGACTTTTTATGCTAGCTTACGTCCGCATCAACAGGTAAGAAGCCATAACAGCATAAAAGCTAGATTAAGAGTATATTAAAAGGTAGAAAAACGGTAGAACGACACCGAAAATTTATACAAACCCCTTACAGCTCGAAGACCACGTGCGCACTGGCCACATCCAGGCGGCGGCCAACCGGAAAGAACGGAAACCGGGTGACATCTACCGACGTATGGTCAAAGATCTGCCACCAGTTTATTCCATGCGTAAGTTGGAGGTTATGGTAGTTTATAGTGTCTTTTAGCCTCTCAACCATACCTCGGCTCTTACCAGCACAGCCGCTTCGTCGCGCTCAACCGGAAGGTGATCGCCGCAGGACCCGGGGCCCGGATTGGTTTTGTCTCGAAAAGACGGGTAGTGGAGCGGCGTGGAGAAAGCGAAGAATGTGAGTTTTAGGAATGGAATACTATACATTCGAAATGATAAATTTACATGTAATATACAAAAATAAGGTTTTCCGGCCGAAAAAGCCTTGTTTGGCATTTTCGAGGTTTTACGCTTGAAATTTATCCAAATTTTATGAAACCACGGTTGAAATACTGGCTATTACACTAGTAGGCATTTTTCGATAAATATGAAAAGATTAGCCCCCTCGAAAATAAACAAGTACCCTTTGAAACCTTTTTAAAATATCGACAAGCTATTTCATGAATTTTTTTTTAGTGACGCTTCGGTCCGTTGTGCTACTATCGTCATTCCGGAGGTGTTGATGATCAAGGAGACCTCTACAAATACTCCTACCATCGAGACGACCGATTTTTCGGCCAAGCCCAGCAAGCAGGAGCTTCGCGCCGCGCTGGCCAAGATTCAGGTGGGTTAGAAAATTGAAAATATCGCCTGTTTTTTCTAAGAACCCAAAAGATTACCATATGTAAAAAAATCGATTTTCTAAGGTAGATTAAGTATTTTCAGGACGCCAGCCAGCGACTTTTGCCCTCATCCACACTCTCCGCGCTCTTCCCAGCACCCAGTCATTAATTATACCATTTTCTAGCCCTTAAAAATCCAATTTTAGCCTCAATTCCCTACGCGTCTTTCCCCATTTACAACATGTGACCTCCGCCCTAAAAGGTGCGCTTTCAAAATACCGTACCCTCCCCAAGAAATTATACCATTACGGGTCTGCCCCTCACCAAAACTCAAGTCCATTGCTCCACCGTGTTTTTGTGTGTTTATTTTCTCAATTCTCATCCCAAATGCTCCAATTTACATCCCGCAAAACTTGTAAAATGTACACAATGATTCACCGTTATTTGTATAGTGTTTCCGCGATGCTACGGGTGTGTACGACGCGATACAAATGGATACGAAACTCTTTCTGTGCTCCCATTACCTACCCCCTGCCCAGCTCCACCTACCCTTACCCTTTGCCATCAACTTTCGAAAGTAATTCGTGTATATAATTGATTAGTTTTGTTTTATTATTTTTATGTTATAATTTTGTATAATTAAGACGTATTTAATAAAGAATTTTGCCTCAAACATGCTCGCTGCCGACTTGATAGGAAGCCGTGGAGGAGAGAGTATTCGGTCGTCACACCGTCAAGAGTTTTTGAGGATATTTACTTTTGTTTATTTTGAATTCAGATATAGTAGTTTTATTAACGCTAGAACGTTAAAAATTTTCTATATTTTTTTGTTATCAAATCGAAGTGTACTTATATTCGTATGAAACTCATTATAACTAAGTAAATATTTTTAATGTTTAAAAAATAGTCAAGAAGGAAAGAAATATAGTTTTTTTATGCTTATAAATATGACATTTTCTCTTATTTAATGCTTAGATGAGCTTATTAATTTAGATAACTCATTATAAGCGGGTAAAGCCGGTTTTTTCGATTTTTTAAACTATAAATCGCATTTATCGATACCTTTGGACCGAATCCTTCTTTCAAATACCACTACATACCGTAATATGCCTTAATTTTAATATTTTATACTCCTATTTGTTATTATATAACGGTCACTCTCGTTTTTCCTTACTATTTGAAACTATTTAAATCGTATTTTTCGTATCTTTTATCGATTACTCTTGAAAAGCCAATATTTACATTGATATACCTAATTTAATAAGTTAATAGTATTTAACATCCGTATTTTTATGGTAGCTATTTAAATCATGTTTTTCATTATTTAAAACTATTCAAACATTTTATTGGGCGCTTTTCAACCTCATTTATCTATCAAAATGCCCCTGTTTTCGACATGTCACGCCCTGTTTCAATAACAAACTTTATTCAAGAAAATTCAGAGGACCCAAACGACAAAAAACGTAGCTTTTTGGTGAACAATCAAAACGAAAGTGGGGGCATAGAATCGGAAGGTGTGGTGGATATTTTTGAAGACAATTTTTGGTGGTGGCGGTGGCGGGCAAATTCGTTTTGGTGTTGTTGTACGAATTCTGAGCTTCTCATTGGGCTCTCAGTTCATCTCGACCTCAAAGCTGCGCAGCGGCAACGAGCGTCGCCTACGCAGCAGACAACTCATCGGCGAGAACTCGCAGTCGTTCCAGCCGTATCCCACTGGAAAATTTCCAGTCCAGTGGAATACGGGGGTTTTGTAGGTTTGAAATGGGTTCTTGTGCATTATCGGGGGTTGGGGGGGGGGGTAATATAAATCGATAAAGGGGTTCCAGAATTTTACGATACTTACAAGCAAAATTTTACCAGTCAGAATCTATCCATACAAATCCATAAAATCAGGATTTTTGGCCAAACTTCCGATTTTTGATCACATTTAAGGATTTTTAAATAAGTTTATCTGGTTAAAATATAGTTAAATTTGTCAAAAACAAAACTAATTTTCAGACATTTTTCGCCCCCTCGAAAGATTTTCCAATACCGTAACGCTTGGTGAAATCGCGAAATTTTATTCTCTGCTGTCTTCCCAGTCCTTTTAATAATTGCTAGCAAATTTACGTACTTTATTTTTAATTTACGTACTTTTATGCTCTTAATTGGCAGTAAAAATACAAAATTATGAATTTTTCGAGATTCTAAAGTGCATTTTTGAACGTTTTATATCCTTTTAAGCTAAATTAGGGGCTCGGAATTTGCTAAAATTTCTGAATTTCTGTGTTTTGATGGTTTAGCAAGCCCTATACAATTTTTTCCATCATTGCCCTAACTTGATATACAGGGTGTCCCAAAAAAAACGACCCATCTGGAATTTCGCCGTGTTACATCCAATCGGCCCCAAATTTGGACCAGCGGTGTATCAGGCCCTAAATAACAACAATCCTGACTTATAGCCCTGTAGCAATAGTAGTTCTCGAGTTATAGCGAAAACAAATTTTATTTTCTATTTTTCATAGGGTTTTCGTGGAATTAGACCCCCTAGACATTAAGCGAAAATGATCCGGTAGGTCTTCATCGCCCTAATAAATTTTTTCCAGAGTAAATTGATTAAATAAACTTTGATTTAAGCGATTTTTACAACGCAAAACTACCCCAGTTCTTAAGCGAAATTAGGGATTCACAGCCGGAAGTCGATGCAAATCGATGCAAAGTCCAAAAACATAGCCGAAATAATGCTTCAGAATTGCGGGAAAAACAGTATTTTCGTTATAACTGGAGAACCACGAAAGCTACGGGGCTATAAGTCAGGATTGTTGTTATTTAGGGTCTGATACACCTTTGGTCCAAATTTGGGACCGGTTGGATGTAACACGGCGAAACGCCAGATGGGTCGTTTTTTTTGGGACACCCTGTAGATCTTTTCCAGTTTCCCAGTTTCTATTTTGCTCTCCCCTAGCCAAGTTGGCCCTTTGCCAACTTCTGATTTCACATTTCTTCGTTTTTTCTAGTGTCGCTAACCCGTTCGGGTCTCTTTTCTGCCCCTCTCTTGTTTGCCCAATCCCTTTAATGAAAGATGGGGCCACCCCCAAAAACGATCGAAGAATTTCAAGCAAGACTTTCTTCCCCTGTGAAATACTTCCGGAAGGCAACTCTGCGCAGATATCCCAGAAAAGTTGGAAAAATTTGGAATTCAAAATGGTGGTATGGGACTCACTCTTGCCGATATCCCGCTTCTCCAGCAGATCCACCCAGCGCACGTGCTGGTCGTCGATGGGTGCCTGCAAAAAGGGGATGAGATAGGAGGAAATAGAAATTGAGGAAGGGCTTAGATTGTGCTTAGGCTAGGGCTTAGGCTTAGGCTTAGGTTTAGGCTGCTGTTTAGGCTTAGCGTAGGCTTAGGCTTCTGTTGAGGCTTAGGCTTAGGCTGTACCTGGGCTAAGGCTTCGCTTACTAGTCAGACTTAGATTGGGTTTAGGCTTAGGCTTAGCTTGGGCTTAGCCTTAAGCTGAAGCTGCGGCTTATGCTACTAGATCGAACCCTAAGTAAGCCTAGGCTAAGTAACCTTACTAAAACCGTTTCTAACAAAGTTTTTAGATAAATTCTATCCCTGGTGAAACCCCACATGTCGATTTCCGTTTCTATACTTCGTACGCCACTTTCCGCCCTCAATACTTCGATTCCAGGCCATGGTAGACGCTTTCAACCCAATCCGCGCGTGGAACACGTTTTTCCCCTCCTCCCCAATCAGCACTAATGGGACGCCCGAACAAAGCTAATCAAATGCCTAATGGTTATTGGGTTTGTGGGGGGTCACCGGCAATTTTGCGAATTTTGAACCCAAGCGTAGGCTTAGGGTTAAGTTAATATGGCTCATCGATTTGTCAAGTCAGAACTATGGATTTGACTAGAACGGCGACACGCAACGGATTCCCGGACGTTCCATTGTGTAATGGAACAGGCCCCGCGTGCGAGAAAGAGATAGCTGTGGATTTTTCTTCTACCCCCGCGGCACGCAACGCACGCTCAGTTCGATCGTAATCCATTACGCGATAGAACGGCGGCACGCGCGTTGCGGGTCGCGGTCAAATTTTTTTGGAAGTCACGGGCAAAAGCACATAGTTCTGCCTACAAATTTTCCTTTAAAAAAAACTAAAATAGGGGTTTTATATCCCACCATCTGACCAAAGCTCCGCTGACTTAATCGACGCCCAGCATGCGCTCGTGTTTTTGACAAGTTGACTCATAAAAAAGCAACCCCCTGCCGCTGAAATCACATCCCCTTTTCCTCTATATTTGTATATTACGGAATATATATTCCCCCGCATCGCGTGGCATCTAAGATGGGCCCTTCGCGCCCATAGAGCCGAGCAGCCACCCCCGGGGTCTCGAGTATGCACTTGGAAAACACGGGGGTTGGCTGGGCCATGTGGCCCCGGGTGGACGCCTAAAAGCTGACCCCTTTTTGGGAAATCGCATCATAATCAACGGCTTCACTTATCCTTACTGGGAGGGGATAAAACTCGGCGAAAAGTCGAGTTTTCGAAGTTTATAGGAGCTGATAGAGAGCTAGTCAACCCTGGGAATTACTTACTTTCTTCACAATAAAATACTAGATAACTTTTGAAACAGGGCTTTTTCGCAAAAAGCAGCCGCAGAATCGGAATCAGCGTAAAATTCTGCCCAATAAACTCCGATTTCACCCCAAAACCTTTCGCAAAAGGAGCTTTTTGACCATGCTGGCGGCCCGAACTTTGTCTTTCGGCTCCTGTTTGTCTACAGCGATGTAAGGTATCCTAAACTACTCGCCGGGCCAGGATGAACATTTTGGTATACTTCACAAACCGGTAGCACAACGGGGAGCCGAGATACAGTAGGAGCGAGGTAAACTATACCACAGCCCGCCCTCAAAACGAACTCACATTCTTGTGGTGGTGTATCCTCGCCGACGTCACCATCGACATCAACGTCGCGGCGACGAGCAGGCAAATCAGTTGGGCGCGAACCATGGCTGCGGGGGGACTACGGTAACTGGGGCGTAAGGAGGGGCCTGGGAATGCCCGCGTGAATGAGCCGTCCCCGGCCTGGGCCCCAGATTTCTACTCCCAGCCCCCAGAAGGAGGGCCCACACCAAGACTAGGGCAACGCGGAGGGCCCAGACCTATCCTCGGGGCCACCCGCCGGGTCTCTGGCTACTTGGCAAATTCCGTGACAAGTGTCGTTTGAAGGAAAGAAAAGTAACGAGGCCAATCGGGTGGGCTCTGAAAAAGGCAATTGGCTTGCTTAGCGCGAGTTGGGCGCGGAGCTCGATGACGAGTTGTGTGCCCGAGTTCGAGTCATTCTGTAGGAAAAACGCCTAATGAGGCCTAGAATATCCGGTGGTTGCTGGGTAAAGCGAAAAACCTAGGGACATAGGGGTTATCGTGCGATATCTACCGAAAAATAGCGGTTATAACACTTCTAAAAGAATTCGGCAGCTTTTAAAAAGTTCAAGCTAGCTTAAACATTAACGTGTCAGCGTTTTACCTCAATTTCTAAAGCATACCTTTAAATTGAAAGCCTTAAAGACCCTCACAAACCTTGAAAAGCCGGCTAAAACCGTTAGTTAATGCTAAAAGTTTTCTCTTATCACGTTTTAAAATATATAAACATAAAGTAAACCCCAGAACACATTCGCGAATCTTGCAAAATTAGGCTTTTAGAGAGGAACTTCAAGATCATAAATAAAGTTTGAAAAATGGCACACGGATCTTTAGTCTCGTTGTTCTTGGCCTCTCTAAAAATAGTTCCTAGCCTAAAAAATTCATTCCAAGTGTGCCCCCGTGAAGGCCCCTTTCAAGACCATAAGCCACTACCCCCATTACGAGCTGCGAAAACTTCCAAACCTCACCATTTCCTTCCATTTTCCGAATTTGCGCAAATTTCCTAATTTTTGTTTGACGAAAATTCCGCGACAATACAGAAACGAACTAGCTGCATTTCTTAACGTGAACCTTGGATCGTAACCCAGAACGGTGTAATGCGGAGCGTTTCGTACTATACTTCGCATCCGAAAACGTTTTCGTTTTTTCAAACAGTTTTGGCATTTTTTCCTCTTGTTCCCTTCAACTTTCATGTCCTTCGTCTAATTCCATATTTTCAGAATGGCCTCCGAAGACTCGGTCACCCGGGACAGTCTGATGCCGATGCGCCCATGGAAGTCTCGCAGCCCACTGCCAAGGTCGACGATCCAGCCGCCCCCTCAGCTTCTGAAACGAGCCTCCTGAACGAGGACGCCAAGGGCGAGGAGGCGAAGGATGTCGAGCCGTCTTCGGAAGAGAAGCAGCCGGCGGAGGAAACCGTTGAAAAGCCGATGGAAGTCGCTGTGGAGGCGGGCAAGGATTCGGAAGATCAGTCTATGGACGTCCCCTCGGAGACGGGTCGAGCCATGGACGTGATAGAGGAGGAGGGCGATGAGGTATTTTCAAAATTTTAATTCCTAATTGCTTCTTTGTAGGGTGCCAAAATACAACCGGTTGATGAGCAGGAAGATGGCGGCAAGCGCACCCCACCGCCGAGGCCAAAGCGAGCCGCCGCCCGTGCCAGCGAACAAAAGGTTGCATCGGTGCCGAAGAGCGGCCGTGGCCGCAAGCGCAGCGCTGTCGAGGCCAGCCCAAATGCTTCAGCCACAAAGACACCTAAGCGTACGTTGACGTTTTCTCCTTGTAAATGCGCATTTATTGTTTAGGCGGCGCTCCTCACAAGCATCGGCTCACCTGGGAAGACTTTGTGGATGATTCGGCGGTTGGCGATCGGGTGCTTTCGTGCGGTGAAGGTGACCAACTTGGTCACCCGGGACGCACTACTAGCAAGAAACCACGGAAGGTGGACTGTGTCGAGGATGATGATCTGCCGGTCATCCAAGTCGTCGCTGGCGGCGTGCACTCGCTGTTGCTGACGAAGGATGGTACTGTTTACACCTGTGGAATCAACGAGAAAGGTATGGGTTTTTGTTGTTCCAACTTTTTCAACATTTTGTTTAGGCACCGCTCCGGGAGAAGGCGTGGAGGCTGAGGGCTCCAGCGACCAGTTCCTGCCCATCATTTTCACCGACGACATCAAGAAGGAGGGCAGAATCGTACAAGTCACCGCTGGCGCTTCATTCTCTGCCGCACTTACCGACCTCGGATCGGTCATCGCTTGGGGCAACTTGCGAGTATGGAGTTACAAATTTTCCTAAGTGCTTGGTTTAGGATAGCTCTGGCTTGATGGAGGTACACCCGCTTCTGAGCAAGATGAACGAGTCGCCCGTCGCTGTTGTCCATCACAAAAAGAAGCAGATTGTCAAGGTAACTTGGCATTATTTTCCGTAAATAACAATTTTCAGATCGCTGCCGGAGAAAATCACCTGGCTATGCTCAGTGCAGAGGGCGAGTTGCTGACTTTCGGGGACGGCTCTATGGGCCAGCTAGGACGCTCACTCCGCGTAACTCACATCCGCGCAGGTAATGGCGTATAGTCTAGCTTAGTTTTGTCTTTAGCCTACATGTGCGATGAACGGCATCTGATTGTGCGTGCCACCGATCCGTCCAACAAGAACCACACGCTCACCTTCGTTGACATCTTTGCCGCGGGCTTCTGGACTATTGCCAAGACTGAGGACCACAAGTATCTTGAATTTTGGTGATGTACCTGATTTTTAGGACATTCGTCTTTGGTCTGAACAACTACAACCAGCTGGGCGTCGATTTGACCTTGGGTGGAAAGAAGACTGAGGTGGACTCCTGAAGAGCTGCGAGTTCTGCTGCCCACACACTCGCCAGTGTTTGATGGTCACGAATGGACAGACTACCAAGGCGTGCAACACGTCGTGGTTCGATCTAAAGAAGGTAACTGGATTCCAGTTACACGATCATTTGTCGTAGGCGAACTTTACGGAATCGGGCGCAACGTCGACAACGCTCTCGGCCTCGGCACATACAACGCCAAGGAGGACGATGAGAATTGAAGTGAGTGTTTTGACTCGAGTGCAGATAATCCTCGCATAGGTACGATGAACCCAGAAAATCGTCATACCTGGAGTTAGTGCTGGGGTGACGGCAAAGCTGACCTGTTCGGTGGCCTGGGATCGCGATGGCAAGGGCTATGCTTGGGGCGTCGATACCTCCGGTCAACTCGGACTCGGTATCACCGACGATGATGACAAGGTTTTTGGCATTTTTCTTTCTAATATTTGCTGCTAGGTTGTGCCAACGCCTCGTGAGATCAGTCCGCACACCTGGACGGCTACAAGATCATCTCGGCTTCGATCGCCGACAACCACACGCTGTTCCTCGCCAAGAAAATCTAATAGGCCCGCCTCTTTATCACCCATTCTCGCTCACTTAGCCGCATTTGCCCGTAAAACCTCACTTTTCTCCTTTGACCACACCCCGTTGATTTTGCATATACGAGTAACTTGTTGTTTACCAGCTTGTAGGATTTTGTTTGCCCTGTTGATGTTGAATTGTATACATTACTTTCTAATTCCTAATTTCTAGTAGTTACATAAAGTTGTCAACCACTTATTGGAAAGTGCGACGGTAGATTGGTATTAGATTTACCACAGAGTATCGACATGGTCTGCTGTGAATCAAAGTACCATTGTTTTCAGGATGCTGGCCGCGCGTTTCCTAGGACCCGACGTATCTCCGTTCGAGCCGCTACGTTCCAGACGGTGCCAACGAATGCTGGCAGGACCCCACCAAAGCTCGAGGACTTTGATCCGCTGAACCCTGGCGAGTGGCAGCTTGGAGCTGGTGGCAAGATCCTCCCCGCCTCCCGGAGAGCACGCGATGTGGCAACTTGGTGATGGGCAAATATGGCCTCTACGATCCCGTGCTGAAGAAACGCGTCGACACCTACGCGAAGGCGCTGCTCGATGGTGCCAAGTCCGAAGATGCCGGCCCGTTCGACCAAGGGGTAACGAAAATGGTGAAGATCCTCTCCACCGCCTGCTTCATCCTCCGGAATTTACAACATCCTCCACGCTTATCAACGGCAGAAGCCCCTCCCTCATTCACCAACATGAAGGCTCCCGGATCCAACTAAGGCGGATGGTCGCCGAATCTTCCCTTGCATTTCTGTGTACTGTTGACCTGACTAGTCATTCCAACGGGTCCGCTTTTTACTCCGTTTTCGCAGCGCTATTCTTATTGTCTATCGTCTGCGATAAAATTTTTGATTACCAAAAGCTATATGACCGGAATCTTTATCGTTGGCAAGCAGAAAGAATACATAGAACAAACAGATTGCACCCAGATTTGCGCGGGAAACACTCGTCACATTTTGTCAAGAAGGAGTTGCGGTTCGTGTGGGCGCGTCAGGGGGACTAGATTTTCGAATACTTTGTGGCAAAAGGGAAAGCTGTAGAACGACGGAATGTACATCCAGTGCAGAGAAATGCGCGGGTCGGGGCTTTATGGCGGTCGGGGATCGGCAAGATGGGGTTGAGCTCGTGACGATCTCACCGTTGAATTTTGGGATCGAATTGGGTGAAAGAAATGTCAGGGGCAGGGGTTAATGTGAAAAAGTCTATGTGCTATGTGCCGGTCAGTGCCCGGAGAAGCAATTCGTTGTTCGGTCACATTCCCAGAGAGGCGTCACTTACCATAGGACATTTAAGTTATCTACTAGTAAGGTAAATATAGGGGGCTAACGATTGTCGGGGGAAATCACCAGGGCCTACACTTCTTTTCTGGGTTCATCGGGGCTCGAAGGCCGACATTGGTAGGCCCGGGCAAGAGTCCTGCGAATTCGGAAACGGTCCCTTCACTCGAATCCGGACCGGGCGAGTGCTCGGACGTCCGCAGCTTGCGCAACGCCTCCTTGTCGTTCAATGGTACCGCGCAGATCTACGAGTTTTTAATAGCTTGAACTTTACGCGCGTCGTCGATACATTTTTGAAAGTAAGTTGACGCTTTTAAGCTCACCTGCGCATAGTTCAGGAAAAAGAGCTGATCATGTGTAAGGTTGACGCCTGGTAATCTTG